AACAGGACCCTCCGTTGACATCGGAATGAGTTTATATCGTTAAAAACATCATTAGTTAACAAAATACATTATCATTCGTTAATTATTAACATTTTCGTAAATATTAGTCCATTATGATTTTATTCTCATCGAGACCTTTCGTTTGAGTACCCACATGAATTTTTTCATATATCTTATATATATGATATTTATAAAATATATGAGGAGCAAGCCCCGGAAATCGCAGAAGAAAAATTGCAATTGCCAGGGCTCGAACCCACGCCTGAGCGACTGCTGTGCGGCAGTTTAAGACTTAAACCGCTCGGCGAAGCAGTCGCCTACATCGAGATGAGCTTACATCTTTAAAATTATCACTAATTAAAAAATGACCTTGTATCTCGTAAACTATTGACCTTTCTATAGATATAAGCTCATCCCGACATTACACTCATCGAGACCTTTCATTTGAGTACCCACATCATTTTTTCATATATTTATATATATCATATATATGTATATATAAAAAATATATCAAAATGCATGTGGGTACTCAAATGAAAGCTCTTGATGATTGTAACATCGGGATGAGCTTATATCTTTAAAAACGTGAATAATTCACAAGATATTTGTTAAACTACACTGTACTTTCTTAATTATTGACGTTGGGACGAAAGGGAAATGTTGTTAGCATTTGAAGATTTTTTTAAAAGGTTTTTTTTGTCCAAAAAATTCTTATTTTATTATAACAAATGTTTCATGAATTTTTAAAGAACTATTTTTTTATAAAAACAATTTCCTTATTAATTTTAGCTTTTTAAAAAATTAATATTATTTACTTGGAGTCAACTCTTAGGATTTTTTTTGGTCATTCAAAATATTTCACACCAGATTTCGATTCATAACAACCTACAGTTTCTTAGTATAGTACGTTAGCTTCGTCCTCATTATTTTTACAAAAAACTAAAGGTTGAAATGTCAGAACCGCGCACAGTTGCTTCAATTACTTTTGCTTCTTTAAACAAAAAAAAAAAAAAGAAAACTTTACTTACTTATTCAGGTCGCAAAATATTAAATGCAAAAAAAGAAAACACAATCGTTGAAAGGAGGAACCGTCTTAACATAGAGCGTTTAATTATTGACTCGACTGAATAATTGAAGATAAGACGCCCTTTGATGATTACTTAAAAGCTTAACTTCTCTGTGAATTATCTTATTTTTCCTCGTTACTTTTATGGATAGTCGGCTGTATTCAATAAAATAAAAAAGGTGCTGGCTTTTGTAGTGCATGTTTTCATAAAGTTTTATAGAAACCGGCGTTACGTTTTCGTGATGTTGTTCAAGATATTTATCAAAATTTTTTACACTGTTCTTAAATCAGATTTATTTTCTATTTTTTAGTTTAGTTTTCTATAAAAAGCGTATTTTTTAGTTTTTCTAAACTATGATTTATTTTTTACTTTTCAGTTTGGGTTATTTATAAAAAGATGTTTTTTTAATTTTTTAAAATTATTTTTTGTTTTGTTAAATTAAAAATTCTCTTTGGTATTCGAAAATTTCCTAATATTAGATAAGTCGGTTAAAGATAATGGTTGGAATTTAAAATTAACATCAATTCCTGTCTTATCAACTATAGATGAAAATTATATAAATTAAAAAAAATTTTATTTTGCAAATTGAAAAATAGAATAATTTTGTCAAATTAGTGTATTGTCATCGGTCCTCGATAAATCTACAAAGTTTGAACAATAAACCTACAAACAAATATACATACAAGTGAAGCTAATAATAAACTAGTAAAAATAAAATAAAATGAAAAAAAAATAAAATAAACAAAACTAAAAAAAAAAAAATTAAAAATTAAAAAAGAAAAAAAGCGTGTAAAAATATTTCTTCTTTTGTCATTTAAATGAAAAATGGAAAATTTTGATTCGTGAAATTTAAATATCAATATTAAATACTATGATTTTGCCCGGGTCTTTATTTTTGTCATTCTCTTACGAAATTTCAAAATTATTTGAAAGAAAAAAAAAGTTCGTCGATTTTTTTGACCCATATAAAAAATTAATCATATATCTTCACGGATGTTGAAAATATAAATTTTTTTGCCCTTAGAGATACAAAATTGATTCATTTTTATTAAGTCAGCTACCAGTTTAATTTTCTTCAACTTCATCTCACAACAGTAGAAAGATTTTTCATTTATATCTATGTATATACAGTCTAGTGTGGGTGTGAAAGATTCACTCAACTTGTTCAGATAAAGCCAGCAGAAGCCAGTTCATACAGTGGTAGTTCTTTGTGTCCGTTTTCTATTTCTTCGGTCATTCGATTCAAATCCGTAGTCGACTATTTCTATCAGTATAAAAGAAAACTGTGAAAAGAAAATAAAGGATTTCATTCTTGTTCCTACTTTCTGTGATTTCATTTTAAAGGAGTTTCGATAGCGGAAAAGCTGACGTTAAATCGATATTTTTATTTTTTATTATTTAATTTAATATAAATTAATATTAATCTTGAGGGATTTATTTTGTTGTACAAACACTTAACTGCAAATGATGATGTACTTCAGCTGGTGATTAATTAAACATGTATCCAGCGGGTGGGGTTAATCGTACAATTAACCTTAATTATTGAACTTTTCTAACTGTCCTGTTTATCTGCTCGGAGACTCTCAAGGCTGATATATTTCTCAAGTAATCCCGCAGCCGATACTTCGGGATATAACTTTGTGTATGTTTAGCCAGAGAGTTTCGGCTTGGTGTTTATTGGGTTTATTGGTAATTGGATCGATAATTTATTAAGCAATTTTGAATTTTTACTTAGTTAAAATTGTTTCAAATTTAGACTTTAAATAAAATTCAGAATTTTATTTTTTATAATTTTTTTAATCATTCAAAAAGAATTAAATTATGTAATTTATACGAAATTTTTAGAGTTAGTCATCTAAGATACACAGAAAAAAAGGCTCAATTTGAACCAAGAAAATATTTTTTCTTCCTTAATTATTTTCTTGAGTAAAAAAAAATATTTTTTTGACACAAGAAATTTCACTTATTCCAACAAAATTAATTCTCTTGCTTTAAGAAATACGTATCTTGATCCAAGAAAATTTATTTAAGTCAAGAAAATCTTGTTGTTTTGAGAAAATTCAGCCTCGAAGCTCCAAAAAATTTAGTTCTTGATAGAAGTTAATTTTCTTGTCTTGAGAAAATTTCTCTCTTGCTTCAAAAAATTAAATATAAAGATAGAAGTAAATTTTCATTAATATTTTTATTGATTAACATGTCAAATGGGAAGATCAAATAATATTTCATCATTTTTTTTCTTCAATATGTATAATTGCACGCTAAAATAATATAAAATGGGTATCAAATATTCAAGAGAAAAATTTTTTCAAGGTGAGAAAATTTTTTTTTCATCAGAAGTAGGTGGCACTGCTTCCCTAAAGTATCTAAAAATCTTGATCAAATATAAAAATTTATTATATCAAGTATTTATGATAATTTGAATTAAGAAAAAATGACTTCCACCACGAATAGAATTTCAAGAAAAATTTTAACTTTGGCCAACACAACTTCGGTCTTCTTTCAGGCATCTGAAAATTTTCTTGAGCCAAGAATTTTGTTCTCTAATCAAGAAATTTTTTTTTCTGTTTCATATTGTGATTAGAATGAATAATTATTCAATAAATGTTTCTATAATAAAATTGAAGATAGTAATAGTTACTATCGAGGAAAATGATTTTTTGTATGAAATTTTTTTTAGCTTAGATGATAAATATTACAGTTTCTCGATCATTTTCTTCACAAATATTCCTTAACTATCTATGAACTACATAATGAGTATTTCTACGCTAAGCCTTCAGTAGCTTAAATTGAATAAAAGACCGTTCAAAGATCAAATTGACCTTCAAAGAAACTTCAACCAGCAACTCAACTTTGTTTTAGGAGCTTAGGTATTATACTTCGGTCACAAAATAATACCTTTGTCATCAAAAGACTAGAGCTCTGAATAACTAAAACTAAGATTCCGTCTTATATATTTTCAACGATAATATGGAACTGATATTAAGACGATTTAATAATAAATCCTATGCTCATACTCCTTTTTTTTTTTTTTTTATTACAAATATCTTCAAACTAGGCCATATTAAAAATAATCATTTAGTTATTGTGTAAATTTTTTAAATTTAACTCGATAGGAATTAATAGGGTTATTAAAAAAGCAATCTTTATTAAAGTATCTACTAACCCTATCATTTAATTTATAATTCTTTATATTAATAACAGCCGTGAAATTTTATTTTAGAAATTGTTTAGTTATAAAACTAATTATTCAAACAACGGAAAATTTTTTTTCTGTGTAGTATTTTAGATGATTAACGCTCAAAATTTCGTATAGATTATAAAATTTAATTCTCTCAGTGTACCTTACCTTTTATTATTTAAAAAACTTTAAATAAAAATAGCTCGTAATTAAAATAAAAAATCTTTACAATAACATAAAATAAAATTTTGAAATATAATAAAAAATAATTAATAAACGTCTCAGTCATTTTTATTATCGTCTTATTTGTACATATATATACTATAATAAATATATATTATATATATGTTAATAATATAGTAACATCGAGCATTTGCACACATTGCAAATATTATTTAGCTAAATTATTAATTTAAATTAATTCAATATTTATATTTTATAACATAACGTAAAATCATATTTATATCTTTTATCTCATATTTATAATTTATATATATATATATATATATATATATATATATATATATATAAACCACAGAAAGCTGTGTCAGTTAATATATCTTAAGGTGGATTCAAACCGGTGAGATCCAGACCGCTGATAGCCCTTTCCAAAAAGGCACTCAGCGATCATTATTTAGAACAATTATTATTAATAATAATTACCTTACAAACTAGGTTCACTTTATTTATACTCTTGAATTTATGTATAAGTTTTAATTAAATTCAGCTAATTATTTATCGTCTATGCCGCGGATTCAGTGGCTGGGGCGTGATATAAAAAAGCTGATGATAAATAAAGTAAAAGCTGTGAAGAGAGTTAGGTATGCATTGCTTGCGGAGGTTGATCCTTGACCCTTTGCGCAAGTTGATCTGATGCTTGAGATGTGAAGAGTTCGTCTTTTCAACAGGTTGTGGATGCCTGTGATGCTGCTCTTCTCCAAAATGTGCTGACGGCCCATCAGGACTGAGTATAACTGGAAGTCGATATTCTCTGAACAAAACGTCAAGAGAACGTGCTGCGCCACCGCCTTCATCACCAAGACTGACCCGTCGAATTGAAGGTAAGACTTTCCGATCAGTGATCCTGTTGAATTAGTTCAAATTTTTAGTCGTTTTATTTTTTCTATTTTGATTCAATCGTTAGTGATCAAGTTAGGTTTTTTTAAACTGAAACAATTTTTTTGTTTCGGATTTTTATATTTAATTACTTCAGAATCAAGTTAATTTATCAGTGTGTTAAATTTAGTACTATGAATACTATTAAATAAAATTAAACAATTTATAGAACTGATACAAAATATATTTTTATCATTTTAAATAATTTAAGAGCTTTTTTTATTCAATTTAAGTAATTTTATCAAAATTGTAAGTTCAATAATTTTTCTAAGAAATTTTTCTTGATTAAAGTAAATTTAATTTAATTCAAAAATTTTTCTGCTTAACTGAAAATAATCTAATTATTCAAAATTTTTTTCATAAAAAATGCTTTTGCATAAATATTTTTTTCTTGACTAAAATTCAATTTTAAAAATAATCATAACCAATTATAATAGTAATTTCTTCCATAATTCAAATCAAAATGATCTTGAAAATATTTTATCAATATTAGAAAAGACCCACATTAAAGGTCTTTATAAATAATCCATGCGGGATCCATTCTCCCAAAGCAGTATTCCTCCACTCTCTCTGTAATAACTTTATAAATACAATGAAATAATGATTCGGTCAAGCATATAATGAGTTAAGCCGATAAAGTGCCTACTGGTATGACTGGCATATAGATCAAAGGACAAACAAACGAATGCATGACTAATATAAGACCCTGTCGGAGCTCGGATGTAACGGGTGTGTATAATATTATAGACGCGATATATGGATTATATATATCAAAAGCGGTTCGTTAAACCGCACTCGGGCGCGAACGTTCCGTCGGCTAGTCATTGACCAGCATCATCATCATCATCATCATAACCACACACCCCTGTTTGACCAACCATCTGCTTGAGGATTTCTAACGATTCGCGATCATCATCATCATCATCAAATCAGCTATAATACAAAACCGCCAATTTGCTCTTGACGGTTACTGAAAACTCAATATCCCAGTTTATAGCCGCTTACCAATACCCGCGATTATATTCATTGATAGATTATCTTAATTATAGGTACTAATAAATTCAGACCATTCTGACCGGTCCATTTTATATGATCATAATAAATTTATTTATAAATAATATCAGTATGTTACACTATAAAATATAGAGCGTGAATTCGGAGTAAATTTTCAATTCTACACTGAGAAAAAATAATTTTTTTGTCCAGAAAAATATTTCTTGGTTCAAGAATTGTTTAAAATGAATTTTGGGTTTTTGACAAAAGAATATCAATATCTATATCATGATAATAGATTATTTTATTTAGATTTAGATTTAATACCCCCATGAAAAAAAAAAATATATGTCTAAAAATATATAAAAAAATATATTTTAAAATGTATTAAAAAATCGATAAAAAAATATGTATAGTAAAAATATGTATAGTAAATATAATTTTAATAGCTAATTTTTGGCCGATTTTCATGTATATATTATATATTTTAAATATATTTTAGATATATTGAAAATATATTTTTTTTATACTTTTAGCTATGTATTTTTTATCTATTTTAAGATATATTTTAAATTTATCTAAAATATATTTAAAATATATAAAATATAAATGAAAATTGGCCAAAAGTTAGTTATTAAAAATATATTTACTATACATATTTTTTATATATTTATAAATTTTTTATAGATTTTTAATATATTTAAAATATATTTCGACATATACTTTTTTTTTCATGATAATAAAATGTTGGCATTAATTTTGATACATTAACAAACGAATAAGTTCACTTGAATTAAACAAAAAATACTTCGATCAATTCTTGAGACAAGAAAATATATTCTTGAAAATTATCAAGAATATATCCTTGTGACAAGAAAATTTTCTCAAGAGTAGTGCTTTTTTTTTCTCAGTGTATTACTCCAAATACCGGATAGAAAAAATGAAACACTTTGGGTACAGAGTAAATCTAAAATTTTTTTTTTTTTAGTAGAGGGAGTAAGTATTTTAATCCAAAAAATGTTAAACTGAGAAAAAAAATTTTCTTTTTATAAATATATGTTCTTGACGCAAGAACGTATATTATTCTTGAAAATTTCTAACAATATACTTCTTTGGCTGAAGAATAGGTCAAATTGATTAAAATAATTTTTATTTAACTCAAGTGAAGCTATTGGTTTGTTTTACTAATAATAGAAACAGATCTTAATATTCTTCTGTTAAAAAATTAATATATTAAATTAACAAATACTTAAAACAATTTATCTCAAATTCATTCGGCAGAATTTTTCTGTTATTAATTCTGTAAATAAAAATCCTTGGAGTAAATTTCAATTCGGAGGGATTATATCAATTAACAATCATACACTCTGCATTATACCCGCAAATTTTTTTCCGCGTATGTCAGCATCCTTTCATTATTACTTTCTACTGAATAATAACGCTATTAATTATTATTCAATCAACCGGGGCTGCATTTATAAAAAATTTTTCATGTTAATACAAAATGAAGAGAGGATTATTTTTTTTTTAATTTTATTTGTAGATCTCGTATGTTCATTAGCGTGGTAATTATCCACCAGCCTAATGAAAAGTCACATAAAAGAGAGAGAAGTCCCGAGTTGACGACGGGATAAAAAATATCTCGTTACTATGAATTCACTGACGTCTGCAGTTTTTCATAAATCTATCTTTTTACATCACTACATACGTATGCACATGCATATTTTTTAAAACAAGATTAAAGAAATTTAATTCTGATATTTCCGTCAAAGGAAACTGTCATTTATTTTATTCAATTAGTACCTTTCAAATTTTAATTATGACTCTGAACAAGAGTTTGGAATTATTAATAGTGGCCGGATTCTGCAGTACCAAATTTGGAACAACGTGAAGTTTTAAATTAACCATTTTTAGGTCTTGTTACTTTTTTGTAGCAGTTAACATTTTAACATTTCTATCACTGTTATTTAAAATCGTCAAGAGAGTTCAATATTATTAATACAATTTTACACACAGTGATCGGTCATTTAAACTGTGGCAATAGCCGGTAAAATGAAGTCGATTAGTTTTTAAATAAACGAATCGAAACAGCGACTATTTTATTTCAATTGATTTTATTACGATTGCTGCAGTATAACTTCATAAATTTTTTAATTCCGTAGGAGGATTTATTTTTACTTAGAAGGAATTTTTAAAAATAAAATGAAATTATTGTTTTTTTTTAATTTTTGCTGGGATTAAAAATTTTTTATAATTACTTTAGAATGGAATGTTATTCTAGAAAATCGAAAATTTAATCAATTTCTTCAGTTCTATTTTTCTAACTAAAAAAAAACTGGAAAAATTTTAATTGGAAAATTTGAAATTAAAAAAAAATTTTTATTTAAATTAAAAAAAATTTTTAATTGCGTTAATTTGTTCAGATTCTTGAAACTACTTTTTTTTTTTTTTTTAATTGATAATTTAATCAATTTCTTCAATTTTTTTTGTACCTCTAGAAAAAAATCAAAAGTTTCATTAATATTAATATTTTTTTAGAAAATCAAAAATTATATTAATTTTAAAAATTAATCTGTCAGAAAAAATGAGAATTCATGAGAAGCAACGTTATTCTTATTCTCGGGGCTAAAGACTGTCGGGTTTCATGAGGCCCGAGATGTGTGTCGTCAGGACTTATCTCCAGCTTTGCCAATGTAAATGTTTTTCTTAGAAACCAGAAATTCAATAAATTTCTCCAGTTTTTTTCCGCCATATCGCCAGTAAGAATAAAAAAGAATCTTTACGTCAACTAAAAATATCCAATATCGCGAAATAGATCCGAGTAATAAAACAAGTGACTATGAAAACAGAGAAAATTACACGTAAAAAATTCAGGAGCGAACTTTCCAAGAATTGTTGACAAAGGCAATGTTTGTCTTAATTTAAAATTTTTATTAACAAAAGAGTTGTCATTCAATAGAGTTTTATTTCTCTGAAAAATCAAGAAAACTGCATTACATAAAATAGGAAAGGAAATAGTTTAAAATAAATGGAATAAAATAATTCAATCTCAATATTCAAGTGATCCAAGTCTTCCTTTAGATGGAAGCTAAACTTTACCGTACGTATCCCGTTCCCGTATCTTCCATCGAGTTTTTAAGAAATAAAATATTTTAGTTGTTGGATACTTTAATGCAAGTTCTACCCGTCGCATGTAATGCATGTAGTTGCAGTCTACTTGAGTATTTCTTTTGATATATATTTTATAAGTGCGAGCACATATTATTTGCTCGAGAATTATTTTTTATGAGGCGTACCATAAAATTATTGCAGTCGGATGAAATGTAGGATGAAAATTTTTCCTCTTTTTATTTAAAAAAGAAAATAAAATAAAATATAATTTAGTAAAAAGAATGTAGAGATTTTTCCGCCATATTTAATGTCTTACTCCGAGTATTTAATTCTATTCCGTTTAATTTTATTGTTTAACCATCTGACGTCTATAAATGGATTCAACTCGTTAAATTCATAATTACTCGCTCCGTATTCTGAAGCTTTAGTGATAAAGTTTTTGTGAGAATTAAAATTGTTGAGAAATTAATTGAATAAAACCGGGTATTACTCGTCCATAATTACGCTAAAAACAACTTGCGAGCCAATAAATAACGTACGAGTTCGAGTTGCTATTAGTAACTAGTGCATAGAAATTCAAATTAAACCAATTGTACCATTTTGCTTGACTACCGAATTCCAGACTCCGTTTATTTTGGAGTTTGGGAGACTGAAGGTATACTCGATTTGGCCCTTCTCCTCGCTCCATAACAGCCTGATGTACCCTCTCTCGTCAAATCGCAGTCTGATTATTGGACATTTATCCAGAACCAATCTTGAACCTATTTCCTGGTCCGGTATCGGCTTGTGTTCCAAAATTTCTACCACGTACCACTTGCCCATTATCTGAAACGCAAAATGTCATTTTGATTTTTATTTTCAATTTCATTTACAAAATTTATGAAATGTTATTATTATAATGAAGAATATTTATTTAATTAATAGAAAAATTATTATTTTATAGAATAAAAATGTTGTTGTCCAAAAAAAAAAAAATTATTTTTAAGACAAGTGGTCGTTGTGTTTTCCAAATTTCTTGAATTTTCACCTCTTGGTTCAAGGCATATTTATCATCAGTCGATAGCTATCGTCATATTATTTTTAAGAATTTAATTTTTTATAAATAAAATTAAATTCTTGAATCAAAAAAAATTATTCAACTCTTTAAATGATTTTATTTTTTTCCAAGAATTTTTTATATTTTTTTTGGTGCGTTAAATTTTTTCATTTAATTAAGAAAAAAAAAACTTTAAAGTTTGATCTTTTTGAAATAACCAAAAAATTTCTATATCGAGTAAAATTTAACTGAATCAAGACCAATTTTTCAAAATTAAAAAATTTTTCTACTTGATTAAAATTTTTCTAAATAATATTATTGTTTGAAGATTTTTTTTTTATGAGTCAATTTAATTTTTTTCATCGGTAAATAAATGTTAACAAGTGATAATAATTTTAATTTGCGATGAATATTAATTATTTATTAAAAAAAATTAAACTAATTACGAAACTCAAACATTTATTCCCATAATAACGTAATTGAATTGATATAAAATAAAACGATTCGTGGGAATAATAAATTGCTCGTATTACCATTTAATTACCCACACCTATTAATATTGTATTTAAATACAATCGAAAACTCAATAATTGATAATACGAATGTGACGTTCGTAAATTATGAGGAATAATCAAATACGATATTTTCGAAATCAATGCTCATGATTATGAATACAGAGTCAATAATTTACTATTTTACATAGTATGTATAGGTACAACAACCGCTCGGCTTCCTATATATATTGTACACATTAAATTAATTCGGGTAAACTAGTGTGTACCCAGATATTTACACCGTTGGAGATACGGTTGGAACATTTCGGAGTTACATACAGAAGTCGTAATAGCAATAATTATTCTGCCTTGACATCCGTCGACCCGATATGCCACTACTACTCTACCAACGGACCTCAATTGGTGAGTCTGTCAAGCTACCCCAAAATTATATTCGCTGATTATATAAACTGGCATTCCGGGTATTTTTACGCATTCAAATTAATTTAGTAATTAGAGCTTTCATCCTCGCGCACGCGCTCAAAGGCTATTAATCATTTTTACCGTTCTGGGATTATAATATTAATTATTATTATATTAATATATAGGAATTTTATGCACAAAGGTTAAATGTTTTACGGCAGTAGGAGGCATTTAATTATAAAAAGATCAATTTTAATCATTTTTCTCTTGTTATTATTAAACGTGGTTGAAAATTTTAAACACTTTTAATTTGCAACTGCAAAAAATTCAGAATTTTCATATAATTAAAAGTTAATTTAAATAGATCATATTGATATTAATTAAGGTTTGCCTGAATTAATTTTTCAGTTTTTAATTAGAACAAAAAAAAATTTATTTTTATTTTTGAATTTCTGTTTAGAGTTTAAAGTAGTCGTCAAAAAATTTATAAAAAAGAAAATTTTGTTCTCTACAAAAAAGATCTTGTCCAAAAATTTCTTAAGATAAGCCGTTCTTAAAATGTGTATGTAAATACAATGTAAAAAGAATTTTATTTAATTTTTCGTAAGAGAACTTTCTAACTTTCAATTTTATGCTTGAAAAACTGCGTTGCAAGCCGTCAAAGAATCAAAATAAAACTACGCATTATAAAAGATACTGCAGTATACAAATTTCAAAAAAATTTTGTGAAATAATCGACTTTTTAGCTCATATAAGTTCAAAGGTCAGCTGATAAATAAATTTTTGAGCATTTTTAACTCAAAAATCAATTTTTTTTTATTCGAAATAAAATGTGTACACCGAAAGAAAAATTTCTTGACGAGAACAAAATTCTTGGCTCAAGAAAATTTGTCGGGTGCCTGAAGGAAGACGGAAATGTGTTGGCCGAAGTAAAAATTTTTCTTGAAATTCTATTCTTGGTGGAAGTCATTTTTTCTTGATTCAAATTATCATAAATACTTGATACAATAAATTTTTATAATTGATCAAGATTTTTAGATACTTTAGAGAAGCAGCCCCACCTACTTCAGCTGAGAAAAAAATTTTCTCTTGAATATTTGATACCCATTTTATATTATTTTGGCGTGCAATTATAGATATTGAATGAAAAAAAATAATTCAATATTATTTGATCTTCCCGTTTGACATGTTAATCAATAAAAATTTACTTCTATCTTTATATTTAATTTTTTGGAGCAAGAGAGAAATTTTCAAGCCAAGAAAATTTATTTCTATCAAGAACTAAATTTTTTGGAGCAAGATATGTATTTTTCAAAGCAAGAGAATTAATATTGTTGGAACAAGTGAAATTTTTTGTGTCAAAATTTTTTTTTTCGCTCCAGAAAACAATTAGGAAGAAAAATATTTTCTTGGCTCAAGTAAACCTTTTTTTCTGTGTCCACAAAAAACCACTTCATAATTACGGTAATAATTAAAAAAACTCTATCTACGTAACATAATTTTTCCAACAACGTTTAATCGACATTATTAGTAAAAAAAGAAAGTATCAAATAATTTTACTTTTTTAATTCCATCCAATCGGCTTAATTGCTCCAACGGAGCAATCGACGTCCCATCGGTAGAGTCGCTTCACTAGTTAAGAAACTCTCGAGAGTGTTGACTCAGAGCTACTCAACCAGCTTTGAGCTGCTATCTACTACACAGGAAAGATTTCCTCTGATGAAAGAGTTAAATTAAAATAATAAATAAACATTTGGGCGAGCAGAGGGCAGAGGGTAGGTAGAAAAGCCAAAGCCGGGCAAGCTAGTGAAATGAGAGTAGTAAAAGCGGTGGACTAAATAGCCGTTAATCGATTGGTGGGTGGCGGGTTTGCTCATGAAAGCACCAGGAGCAACAACAGACCAAAAAAAGTAAGCATTCGAATGAGCAAACGCCTCGCGCAAATAAATTTTCGTTTATTAAGCAGCCGTCCCTAGTGTATATGTATATGTATATGTATATGTACTAGCCACTCGTACAACGTGAATTATTTTCTCGGCCGCACTCTACTGTCTCGTGCATTCCGAGTGCCGTTAACAGTACGAAAAAAGTTGTCCAGAAGTGCTTTAAAATCATATAATAAACTCCTATTTATCATTTTAATTTAAATGTCCCACTTATTAACGGGTTGCTTTTAATTAAAAATTTTTTATTATCATCCCATTTCATGATAATAGAACTTCCAATATTATAACTTGTAATTAGTAAATCAAGTTGACTTTTAACTGAAAGTTTTTCTATGGAAATTTTATTAACCTTTCTAAAAAGTTGCCTGACAATTTTGAATGGTCAATGATTTTTTATAAATATTTCCTTGGTTCATTTCATGAAAAAATTTTTCAATGATTTCTATTTTTAACAATGAAAATATTGTTCGCTTTTATGTGCATTAAAATATGAAAACTTTTGCGAGAATAGAGTTTAAAACTTTATGAAAATGTATGATATAAAGTATTATCAAATGCCGTAGGCTTTGAAACTTGCAAGTTTGTCAATTTGTTTGATTATTATTGTTAGCCATTGCTTTTCAATGCTATTGTGATTCGGTTTTTTGAAATGCAGTATTGATTCGAAAACATTTTTAAACTTTTTAAATATATATTTAGACGATTTAAAATGAGGCTTAACGAAACTCAATATACTTATTCTACATATCGACGTTTTAATTAGCAAATTGTCTAACTCCATTTTAGAAAATCTTCTATTTGTGTGAAAAAAAAATTAGTTCAAAATTTATTATGACTTTAAAAAGCAATTTAATATCTTCTAGAAGTATAATATTTTAATTTGGATCATTCAAATAATTTATAATTGAACTATTACAAGCAGAATAACTTGAAACAAGAAGTTAATTTTGAAGAAAATGATTTTCTTGAGTCAGGATGACTTTTTTTTTCTGTGTAGATGTATTCTTAAATAAAAAATTAATCATTTTTTTATTAATCCGATGGAATTTTATGATAACATTCGTTTTAGTCGGCAAAAAAATTATACGTAAAAATTACCGAAATGGTTGCGTAAAAAATATATTATACTATTTTATGTTATATATACCAGAAAGGGTCTGTAAGAATTATATTAAATTATGCGTAAATGTTAATATAAGATTTGATAAGAGTTTTTATCATTCATAATTTTAAAAAATTAATTTTTCCAATGAAAGGTTATATATATTTTAATTTGAATAAAATATGATCTATCATTTTTACAGGACTATTTTTTCCGTGAATGATTTTTTATACTTATCGAATTTCTGTAAAATTTATTTGAAAATAAATTAAATAAATAAGCTGTAATTTAAATCTTTACTATACTAAATTTTTTTTTGTTTATTCAAGTATTTTTTTTTTAAGTATTCGTAAAAACTCCTATACAAATCTTGAAAAAAAAATGAGTGTAAACAGTAGGGATCCTGTCAATAATACAGGTTTTTACCTTATCATCAATTTCCGGATTTTCAGTAGAAGCGGTTTTCCCGTTTCTGGAGACCAAAAAAATCCATTTAAAGTGTTTTCAATAAATAAAGCAATCGGAGATTCCGGTAAACCAGCGGTCGTATATATCTGCCACCTTAGAGACTACAGACTACAGCTTGGTATTCGGATTGGGGTTCCTATATGTATTTAAATCGATACTTTTGCTATATAATGCTACACTCGGGTGGACTTGTATACGGTACGCTGATACTTTAGCCCCTATCTCGGGTGGTGTAAGCTCTTTTTTTAACCGCTTTTTATTTAGTTTCCTTAGAAAGTCTTGCCACGCGTGTGACTGTCCAAATTTACTGACCCATTCATTGATACTTTTTTGCCTTCGTTATCGGGAAAACCGTGTGTCCTGAGACATTTTTACCGCA